TGGTCATGGCAGTGTTGCTCAACATGCACTAGGAGGGATTCAATGATAGTGCCGTACAAGTGAAATTACTCTATTGGGGGTCCCATAAACATATACGATTAATACCGTATTAATATCGACAACATTCCGTCAAATACAATTTTAAGTTGATACATTATAAGAAATACTTAAAATATTTAAGGGACTAACTTTTAAGTGGATTTAGGTGTATCCCCCTCTTTTGAAACAGGAGCCCGTCGGAAGACTTGCAGAAAATCTGCTTAACTTTCTTCAGTTCCTTTGCTTAGCCCACGAGCTTCCGACTTTAATAACGAGCTATAAAGATGTCGACCGCGTTCAAGTGATTCACGATACGGTGCAGTGGCGCACTCGACATTGAACTTTCTTGTTCCATATAAAACGGAGGATATCAGCACCCCAGGAATGCTTCTGTCTCACCAAGAACTGAGGTTCTTTGGTTACTGACTTAAGGAATCATTTTAAAAAAATTGGAATAACTCTACTTTTGAATTGCTGTCAATGTTATTTTTGTTGGCGAACAAGACTCGTTCGTCTTTCGATTCATGACATTCAAAAATCGATCTTCTCACTTTTCAACTCAGGATTGCAAACTACGTAGAATATACACCAGTGTAAAGGGAAAATGTAATTGTGACGTTCTGCGTCATTCCGGTTTAGAGTTGCCGTTCGAACTACCAATAAATCTATAATTTTGGGACAGTCCATCAAAACATATTTACAAACTTGGTTCCTATCATCGAAGTATGTATCCCTGTAAAAAGGGCAGTCGTCATGGATGAATGTGGAAACAATCACAGTTTGTTTATCATGACAGCCAAATCGAACACGTACATTCACTCTATGGAACGTTAAAGTCGATTATATTACATACTTACCAATTCGACCACGATGTTAAGGAATATCTTTCTGTTTTTCATTTACAAAATACAAAAATAAAACTACAAAATTTTATAAATACAACTTCCAGTTCATTTTAAATTTAAATTCAATCTCAGATAATAGTGACAGTTATTAAGTATGTTAAAATCTCTGGTTTGAAGTAGTTGAAACAATGAAGAGGGCATTGTTCACAATAAAACAACATACTCGCGAACAATGGATGAAAGAACGGATTATACCGCTGTACGTCTTTGTATGTATGACGGTCCTTGGGGGCTCAGCTATTAATCGTGTCCTGTCGCTGCGACCGTGGAAGAGTGTGATGCAATTACATATTCAGGCTGCAAATCCATGCGTCACGATGCCAGGTTTTAACAAAACAACTGTCACCATGGTGAATCGTGTATCACGACAAATATAAATAACGAAATTCACCCTTCGTACAACATTCGAGGTGCATTACATTCCTCGTGATATGCGACTTTCCTGTAACGCGTAGTAATCATAACGTAAGGGCAATATCAGGGATTTGGCAACGCTTTCGATGACACTGTTTTTCTTATATTAGTAATCAAATATTTAAAAAGACAAAACCCATGTGTTTTATGGTTCCCTAGAGCTATTTAAGCCGTCAAGTAATACGATACCTAAAATTAATTCAAATAAATGCAAATTACTTCCTACTTCCTGTCGGCTAAATATCGAAACACACATATAGTATCTAATTTTTTTTCTATTTGATCTGACATTTTTGCATAACCTTGATACTGTGTATTAGTATTAAAATATAATCATCTTTTTACCTCGTCATATTTGTGTCGTGATACTAAGTTAATGCATGTTGCTGGATTGTAAATAAATTAGGACTTTTCACTAATCCAGACTATCCCTTCCCCCTCCTGGTCCTAACTAGCGACATTTTACTGTATTCATATGAAAACCTCCACATATAGCCTATAAAAGTCCACCAAACTCTGCGAAAGACGTCCAAGATGCTCGCGTCTCTCCATTCTCTAGCCGCGAAAGACATGTCAATTACTACGCTCAGATGTCTCAGCATAATATAAATATAGAGTTATTTTACGAATAGTCAATTTCTCTGCGGGATGGAAATGTCTGAGTTTCTCCGCAGTTTCCGTAAAGAAGACGCAGGCGAGAGGGAAAGGTGAGCGGGAACGAAGCTCCCAGAATTGTGAAACAGTTCAGTGGCTTTCGATGCACACGGGTCGTCGTTTCGGTCGGACGTAGAAATAAATAACAACTGTTTATTTGCGAAGATTCGAATTGTTTAGTGATCTGTGCTGTGGAAAGAAAGAAAGAAAGAAGAATATTGTGTGAGCGGGCGTCCTAGTGCATTTTCTTCTGACAGAGGAGTCAGTCGTTCAACGTCTCTGATTTCTGAAAATGTTAATGATACATGAGCAAATTAGCACTGGTAACACAATATAACATTGTTTAAATCTTAAAAAGATTATTGCAATCAGTACATCGTAAAATACTGAAGCATATTTATGTTTCGGTTAATAGTTTTGACTAATGTAATATTTTCAAAATGCATTTTTTTTTACTTAAGAAGCAGAATAAGCTGGTCATTTTAAAAGAAAATAGTCGAAATATCCAAATACATTTTATTAATATAAGCTTATGAGTAAATTAATTTTGAAGAAATTCGTCTTGTTACATTACAGCTGTACAAGTGGTAACATTTTTACGTAGAACAAATTAAAATCGTAATAATATTTAATTAAAATATAACATTAAAAAGTGTAATGTTTATTATTTAAAAATTTCGAATAAACTTCTGACCTTGAAGAGTTGGAAACTCAAAATTAACTAATAATAGAGTGTTCACTTTGAGAACTTGCAATTTTTCGTATCTTATAATAAAACACTGTTTCCAATTTTGAACGAACATTATTAATCAAATTCGAATTCAATGCAATCATATCTGTCGGACGAATGTAATACAGAAAATCGGAGACGAATCCCGTTTTCTTCAGGAGTCGATTAATGGATAATCTTAGGTTAAAGAACCTGCTAGAAACCTAAATATTTAAATGTACATAACTGTACTTTCACCAATTGTCTTACACGGTTGTGAAGTCTAAGGGACGAACATAGACCGAGATTGTGTGAGAAAAGATTGCTGATGAAAACATTCAGACATTCCACGCCGTGTTCACGTGAGTACGTCATTGAAACTGAATCCTGCTCCAGTTGAATCCAATCCAATCCAGTCAATAAAAACGGAGAAAATTTTATCCTTTGTAAATTAACTAACTTTTTGGTGGTACAACCCGAAGGATCACCACCGTTGACACCGAAGTCCGGACACGACCATGACGAAAAACACCCGTCCAGTTACAAAGTTTCGTCAAACAATTCGTTTATCGGCCAAAATATGAAGTGGACAACTGTGAACAATCTAAGTCCTAAAACGTCGCACGGAAATCAGAGCTCTCATAAGTGCCACTTTGAATCCGTTCGGCCACACCGAGAGGTCATTATGGCCAGCACGTCGCAGTCTCAACCGTTCAACAATCCGCGAGCACTGCAGTCGCATAACAATTCGTGCTTGGTTTCGAAGACTCATTGCCATGGAGTCAAGGGCACTGCATCAAATTATCAACGCGAAAACATGAAGACTGGCTTGCCGAACTGCCACCATAGCAACTCGACCGGTTTCTCAACCACATGTCGTCATATCCAAAATACCAAGTCAAGTCCTCTAAAACACTACAGAAAACGCAGTTCGTCACGATTCCAGTACAGAGCGTTAGTGCAGGAACACAGGCAGGCCGTGCCCAAATCGCCTCCGTATACGGCATCTTCGCATCTGCACCTTCGTTTGAATACGTCTAAAGACATCCGCAAACTCAGAGTCGACGGAAGTCCATTTCAGGTAACGTGACGTAATGGCGTGTCTCGTCCTTGAATGCCAGGTCGGTGTACCGCACCCAGATCGAATTTCCTCCTTGTTACCGCTTATCCTATGGTTTTTCGTAGTTTTCCTCACGTCCTCCACATAAACACCGGAATTTACCAAAGCAATGTGTTTAATAATTTGAAAACATTTTTGTTACTTATGGCATCACAGAATTCTGACATATAAGGACGAAAATATCTTCCATTTACAGAAAACGAAAAGGCAATGACACATACGCACAAATATGTACTCATTTTATTGGCTGTACATTATTCTTATTTGCACTGGAAGAGCTTTCACCTCTCCATTGTTACCTACCCTAATACTAGAACATGGTACTTCAGGTAAGGACCAACGATGGACACACTGGTACCCAAAATGCAAGATGTGGGCCAATATAATTTTCTGACCAACTTGCAATGCTAGAGGGCCCTTCCGTTAGGATACCTCACTATCTTGAAACTGCCCATGGTTTCCCTCAGTTCCTGTGGACAAATAATATTATAGTATCCTAAAACAGGCAACTGCGCATCATTTCACACTACATAATCTCAACTGATGACACACTTTGAGCATTTTAAAAATCTTCTCAGACTATCAGCTGTATCAGTTGGCTAAAAATCGCCAACATTTCAGGGACCATTAACTGTTCCCATTATCAGGGCTGTGATGTGATTGTAATTACTTTCTAACCTTGTCGTTAGGAGCCCCCGCTGATATGAATTTTGTGTGTTCAGAATCTGACACAACTGGACATGAGTGAGAACAGGATTGAGACACTGGACCTCAGTGCGCTGAACATGCTGGAATGTGTTCAATGTTCCAGAAACCAACTGACTGAACTTTCGCTCAGTGGCAAGGCACTTGTTTCGCTTATTGCAGGAAACAACAGTAAGTATCTTCTTCTGTGTTCCTATGACAGACAAGAGCCTCTTCCATAAGCAAATATATGCCATTAGAGATAAGTTGGACAAGCTACAGCATGGATTTTGGCTACCTGATATGGACTGAAAGTGCATAGGTTAAAAACATGGATTATGTATGTTCAGTATCCACCTAGATGCAAGTTTTGATTTTCGTTCTGCTTTTAGGGTTACAGAAACTGCACATCAATCCACCACCCACACATCTCAAGCATCTTGATGTCTCATAGTAAGTATCTTTTATCTTTAAGAACCTCAGTACGAGTACAAATTTCAATACACAGTGAGGTGATTTAGGTATAACAGAACTTGTTTTGACTGGATTCCAGATCACATGACAGGTTTTGTACAAGCCTCTCTGTGTCGTCCCTGTGTGTCTCACACACAAGGTTCTTATTTACTATATTGGAATTACATTAAAAAAATAAATCCTTTAAAACTGTGGTAAAAGTTCAAATGATTGGAAAGTACAACAATAAATCAAAGTTACGCTTACGAAGCCATTAAAACAAATTATTTTCATTTGTATTTCTTCACTTTATGTCATACCACTTTACTGTATTTCTATAAAAATATTTTAGACCTAAACTTTTAAGGTTTGACGCTTTTATGAACAACAAAGCATGAATATAAAACAAAACAACAACAAAAATCTCCTCCTCTTCAACATCCCATTCTTCTGCTTATTCACTAATTGAAACAGAAATTAAAATCAAGTATCTGGAAGTGTACAGAGGGTCTGCACCTTTTTACATTATAAGACTCAAATGCCTCAGTATTACGATATAATAAGTCATAAATAATGTCCTGACTTGCAACATTAGATGTTCAATTTTGATCTAATCAAAAAAATTTGTTAAGCAGCAATGAATTGGAATCACTGCCAGACTGGACTGCAAGCTGCTACCAACTGCGAGCTTTGTTTGCAAGTCATAACAAGCTACAGGTGTTGCCTGAACATCTGTTCTGCAGTGAACTAAGCTCCCTGCAGACCCTGCAGCTCAGTTACAACCGGCTGCAAACGTTACCTACAGTCATCCGGCACATTCCCTTGCAGGAATTATTCCTGCAGAGCAACAGTTTGGCTACCCTTCCTGCCAACTTTTTCATTGTATCAACAAGGTGACTAACGCTAGTCATAACCATTAAGAACAAATTGCAAATTTGTGGAATGTGAAGCCCCATACACAGGGCTCAAAAAGTTATGCTAAGTCACAATTAGAAAATATGTCTGCATTAACCTGGTAACACTGCTCCCGAACAACACTCTTGTGTTATCCCACTTATTGTGATAGCTTATCAGGTTTTATGAATCTAAGTTACACGACATAAAATGGGTTTTGCAGGCTGCGTGTGCTGAACCTGTCAAATAATCGTTTGTGTGAACTACCAAACGGATGTCATCAGGGTCACCAGCTGGAAAAACTCTACCTCACTGCTAATTGTCTTGCTGACAATTCATTGGATATCCTTGGCAGGCTTGCCAACCTCCACACACTACATGCAGCATATAATTCTATCACAACATTACCTGAAAGGTATTCATGCAATACATTGTAATAGTTTAGAACTAGACAAAATAAAGCCCAGTTGTTACATTGCAGTTAATCAGTTATGCTGATTATTTAAAGATCTTCAATTTTTTGTTTTTTTGCTTTCATTACATGAGAGTTCTTTACTCGTATGTTATCTTCATATTAATCATCTTCATGACAGACATTTTTTTGTGTATACTAACTTATACCCATCTTACTTTTTCCTTCAAGTTTATTATTCCATTCTATCTTCATCCATTTACACGAGCTTTTCATCTCTTCTTTTCAAATACTGCAGTCAAGTGACAAGAAATCCTGCTTCATATTTTGGAAACTCACGGGTTAGAGTGTCGTCTGTAGGATTTGAGGTTTTCGTGGCAGTGAGTCAGATCATCTGCTGCTGTTTTTGAAGCATTCAGCAATGCATATCCTGACAAGTACTGAATATGACAACAATACACCAAATGGTAACAAAATTTCTTGTCACAATGAAGTCACCAAAGCTTAAAAATCCTGTTGTAATTAAGGATGCATTTTAAATGGAACAAACACACTGTGTTTTCTGGGGCACTTCATTTTCACACTTGTAAATAATATATGTATTCAGCATTTTGGAAAGTATTTGGGCTATCATTTTCATAGAAACCTTTTGAAGAAAAGAGCACCATAGAATTGGTTGGTCAGTCAGTCAGTCCGCTGTAATGAGCTGTTTACTTAGTTATTCAGTATTTGTATGAACTCTCAAAGCACACGGTTTTAAACTTGTTACTGTCTGTTCCAGTTGTGTAGCTGTTTGGACTGAACTGGAGGAACTAGTAATCTCTGGTAATAAATTGCAGCATTTACCAGACAACATTATACACCTCAAACACCTGCGGGTTTTACGTATACACTCCAACTGCCTGCAGACCATACCATGCTTTGCTAAGATGACATCTCTCAAGGTACACATGTAATAAAATCTTGCTTGTAACACCTTTGCAACAAAGTTTTCTTTCACACATTTACATGTGCGCTGTGCGCATGTGTGAACTTCAACTCAGTGAAGATACGCACAGGTAAGTGTCCATTGTTTCACAGACTGTCTCTACTTCCATTACCAGAAATTACATTTAGTAGCCATAAAAGCTTCATATCTTTTATTTGGTGAAGATATGTTAAATAAATGGTCTCCTGTTATTTCAGCTGCTGAAAATTTATTATAACAAACAGCAATATGGATCCATTTTTAACAAAGCACACACTTTGAAGTCATTGTACCAAATGATATGCACTAAGAGTTAGACACTTTTGGCAACTTGTTGACCTGTTCTGGCCTCTGATGAAATTAAGGAAAATGATTACAGGTACTGGACCTAGCACACAACTGTTTGGACAGAGTAAATCTAGCAACTCTGGTTCCTCAGCAGCTCCAGTTTCTGGACCTGTCTTGTAATTCTAAGTTGTATGTGGACCCACGGCAGTTTCAAGTGTACAGGTGAGATTATATTTCACACAGACTTTATCCTTACAGTTACTAGTGCTTACACTCTTTTAAAATAATTATTATAAGAATTCCAATAGCAAAATATGATTAATATGACATTTATACAATTCACTGTTCATTCATGTCATCACCATCATCATCATTATTAAGTCAAAAAGGAGAAAATAATAACAGTTGCCTTGGCTGATTCCTTTCTTCAGTTCAAATATGTGCAGTTCCATGTGAAAACTGGGAAAACTCTAAGCTCTAGAGACCAACAAAAATAATTTAACTATAATGCATTTAGCAAGTCATTTGAGGATGTTACTTTCATATATTTTGTGTTTGTTGTTTAGAAGTCATCGTCCAATGAGCCTGGTGGATGTCTCTGGACAGAATCGTACCTGCCTTCCCTCAACCCCATACACTGGAGGAGGTGAAGATTTAGGGCCACCATGGAAAGTGGGCTTCTCTGAGACTGCAGGACAACGAGAACGGTGTGTTTCCAGTGTTAAGAGAGAAATAACAAGACCAGAATACAGTTCTTTGCCACGGTCCTTTAAAAAATGCACGCACATAACATTCGATCTTTTAGTATTATGTACTCTATTTTTCAAGCAAAGAGTCTTAAAAAATAAATTATGTTGTTTCAATGTGTATTTTAAACACAATACAAAACTGAAGAAGATATGAAAAGAACAGATTTTCCTCAGGTAAAAATGTTTTCAATGTGAAAACCCACATCGGGAGCACGAGGTTACAAGTCATGTTATGAAATTACCATCTAAGGATGCACTCCTTTCAATTTAGTACTGTCTAATATAATTATATTTCTACAGGCTTTATATTACGCAGATCCGTCTGCCTTCGTTTTGCAACATGGAAGGTCTGTTCGGTATGTTTGATGGAGGGAATAACAATGACATTCCCAACATCCTTACAAAAGCTGTGCCCCGTATGCTGCTGGAAGAGAGAACAGTCAAGGAGACAGCTAGCGAGTATATGAAATATACAATGCTTTCTGCTCACAGGTAACAGCATTTCCTCTTAGTATGGCTTTTCACTCTGTGCATTCCTTTGGTATGAGTTAAAGTGAGAGCATGATCATGTTTTATCTGTCAAAGCAGAACTGACATACTGTAGAAGTTTTGTTATTTTTCTAAGGGATAAGATGGGGTACATGGGTGTCCATTAGATTAAGTTCTGCTAAAACAGAGATTTGGAATTCAAAAATTACAGGCTCCCAGTGAAATCAAAAAT